CTAGACTTGGGGCGCCGCGGCTTCTCGAGCGCAGCCTGGCCTCCTCTGGGCCCCGTGATCTGGGGGGCCCTCAGGCCTTGCTATGCCCTCGGGCTCGCGTTCTGAGCTGACCTCTCGATTGGGGTCGCCAGAAGGGGAGTGCGTGTGTGTGTGTGTGTGTGTGTGGTGGTGGTGGGGGGGGCGCGGGCTGGGGGGCCTCCAAAGGGGCCCGGGGCCGGCGTGGCAAATTCATCAGAAGTTGGCAGGCAAGGCGCTGGCCGCTGCGCCGCGAGACGGATGGCGAGTCGACCCCGCCCTGTTGCCCCTTGCCCCGTCGAGCGTAAGCTGTGCAGGGGGACCTTGGAGGAGCGCGGCCGTGGCGCCGCTGGCAGCGCCCGACCCGCCGAAGGCCGCCGTGCTTGATTTCGAACATCCCTCTAGCGATTCGAGGTCGCAAGGTATCTCAATCCTGGGGGCGCCTGTCCAGGGGCGGCGCTCGCCTGCGACGCCGCCCCCGCTGTTGTTTCGGGGCCCGCCCGAGGCCGCGGCTTCGAAGGCGTCGCCGACGAGCGCGAGGCAGTCGTCTCGATGGAAATACCGCATCCATCTGAGGAAGCCGCACTCGAATTCGGGCTTCTGTCTAGCGGTTCGGCGTCGCAGAGTGGCTCGCCATTGTGGGGCGCGCGCCAAGGGGTCGGCGCTCGCCAGCAGCGCCGTCATTCTCGGGGCCCGCCTAGGGCCGCGGAATCGATGGTGCCACTGGCGAGCTGCAAGCTAGACCTGCCGCGCCGCTGGAAGCGGTCCCACCCGAGAGACTGTCGTCTCACGTGACGCCGAACATGTCGCATGGGACTCATGAGACGACCTCTGTGGCGGTGCGATCAGGCTGTCGGTGAACGCTTTCTTGTCCTTGCCCGAGCGCGCCAGATCCGCTGCCGCCGCTAGGGCAGGCCATCTTGTCGCCCGAGGCTGAGGCCGTTCTTGCGCCGCGATTGCAGGCGACGCCGCTGAGGCGCCCTCGCTGGGGGGCGAGCGAGGCGCGGGCAGGGGGGGCGCGCAGCGGTCGCTCGGCGCGCCGCCTCCTTCCTGTGGGAGAGGGCAAGGCAGCGTGCTGAAAAGCCGAACTGCGCAGGCGCGAGCCAGCTGGCTGTGGGGGCGACTGCCGGCAGGTCTGCCGCGCGCTGGCGATCTTTTTCTCCGCCGGCGGAGGGCGGCGGGAGAGGGCGGCGTCAGCGCGGGCGAGCAGCGGGTGCCCTCGGGGCCGAGCGAGGCGCCGCCGACAACGAAATCCTCCGCGCTGGGCAAAGGGGCGAGGTCCCCCTCCCTCCCGCGCCCAAACACTACCTGGCACGTAGAGTAGGGGCCGGCGGCCTGGCCAGCCGACTGGCGCGAGAGAGGTAGCCTGTAAACGATGGCTGGGCCCCCCTGGAGCGCCTCTGCTAGCGAGCGCCCACGCGGTCCCCCAGCGCTGAACCGCGATATCCCAAAGGAGACGCCCTGGCCCAAGACGAACTGAGACCCCGCTGCCAATGCTTACGCTCCAGGGTGGGGGCTGCGGGGGGTGGGGCGGGATGGGATGGTGTGTGTGTGTGTGTGTGTGTGTGTGTGTGTGTGTGTGTGTGTGTGTGTGTGTGTGTGTGCGTGTGCGTGTGCGCGCGCGTGTGGGGTGGGCGGGGGGGGGCTTCCGCGGGCGCGCCTGCAATCTTGTCAGCTCTGCTGCGCGCGGTCTGGTTGCCAGCGGCCAGCTGTTCTGCAGGGGCAGAAGGCGCCGCTGTCACAAGGACTTCTGGAGGGCCTCTAGCGCCTCCGCCTGCCGTGACAGCCTCGGCACCTGAAGAGCTTCCAGACCCTCCAGGAACGACGTTCTCGCCCCCTTCTCCCTTGCCCCTCTCCTCGGCAACCGTGCGCTGCCGAGGCGGCGTGCTCAACTTTGGTCGCTCGTTGGCATTGTGCTTAGCATCCGGGAACAACGACCTGCCCATGTTTGCAATGCCAGACTTGAGGGGGTCAGCGAGCTTCGAAAACCCGTCTGGACCTCCTGGGGCGAGTTCGCAATCAGTGTCGACCAGGAACGTGGGCCCAACATCAACATCCAAGGCTGCAGCACACTTGGTCTCGCCGAGAAGGTCATCCATCGACAACTTGTCGGGGGCCAGGGCGGCTGTCGGATGAGGAGGTTCCCCCGCCAGTTTGCGAACCAGGTCTCCGTGCCCACTCCCAGCTGCAACCAGCTCTGCCCGCGTCTGGATGCCTGTCGACCGCTGTGCCTCCAGATGCGCGTCGATCTGACCGAGCTTTGCGTGAGCTGCTTCCAGACTCTTCTCGGCCTCTCGTGCCTTGCTGTGTTTTGGACAAGCGGACGGCTCGATCTCCTGAAGCAACAATGGGTTCCTGTGGGGCCGTTGCCGCCGTCCCGTAGGCGAGAGTGCCGCGCTTGTCGCCCAACTTCTCGCATACATTGGGCATCTGGATGTGCTCCTCTGGTGAGAGTTTCGGCTTGTCCGAAGACCCATCTTCCACA